AATGAGCGTTCGGTGAAATGATTGTCGGTGAATTGATCGGAACCGAAAAAAAATTATGAAGATCGTCGATCGAAAAATGTAATCTGAAAAGCAAACTTAAGGCTAGTGAAAAAAAGCCTTGTGAAAAGTGAATAAACTATGAACTACAGTCAGCGAATTAATTGATCGTCCGGTACATATAAGTTATTGCAAATGTCAAGACTTTGTACATATCATTTTACTTATTATAAATAACCATCCAATTCATTCTTAATATAAAGGCCCTTAGTATATAGAATTTCTAGTCTTGTTTTTGTGTGGTAATTTTATCCGCTTTTAAATTTCTTCTAAAGTCGTTTACCCGTACTATCAAAACTATATTGTGCGTGTACTGTGTTTGTATTGTTCTCTTAATATTAAAGACATTTTAAAGTAATTCGTTATAAGCGTCTACTTTCATCCATTTTTATTATAAATCATACTTTTACAATTACCTCTATTTTTCATTAAAAATTAATGTAATTATGAGAAACATTCATTTTACAATAAAATTGTTATTGCTTATTCTTATATTACAAAGATGTTTTATGATTCACGCTTTGCACAAAGAGTTAGCGGAGTTATGGAATGTAACCGAAGATGATGTACCTGAGTTGTTGAATACTGAGAGCTACTTACGCAGTGTAGACAAACATTTTTTAAAGCCATTGCTAGATAATAATGAAGGAATTTTTGGAGGATCTTATATAGATGTAAAAAAAGATAAAATAATTATCAGAACTTTAAATTTAACCGGAAGGAATATTATATTAAGTTCACCTCAGATACGACCGTATAGAAGGCTATTAAAATTTAAACTAGCAAGATATTCTTTAGCATACTTAAAAACCATGTTAACGAAAATAATTGATGAAGGACGAAAGTATAAACCACGTGGCATAACTACATACATTGAAAGAGAACTTAATAAAGTTATCGTATGGACAGATTATAAGGCCGATGAACATAACCAAGCGTTTTTAAACGCTATCCAATCATATAATGCAACTATACGCTATTACGGAAATTCGACACGACTTCCTAGAAAACGATCTCCAAATTTAACCGACACTAAGCGCATTATAACGCGTCAAATAATGAATGGTGATGGTATAATTAATAATTCTACTAGAGGGATATGTACATCTGGCTTTTGGGTGATAGATCTAAATGGCAACGATTATGTAGTAACTGCTGGACATTGTGGACCTCTAACTCCTGGTGAGATTTATTTTACGTTATCGCGGAACTCGTCTGAACCCAAGGATGAAATTGGACCAATGGTACATAATGATTTACATGGAACTGATTTTGGCTTAATCCAAGTAACAAATAAAAACATAAAAGCAACAGGAAAGATAAGAAATACGGATTCTGAAAAATATAGAGAACTATTAATAATAGATGATGAACCTATTTCAACCCATAATGCTCACTTATGTAAGTCTGGCAGAAATACATTTGTTACTTGTGGATACATAAAGTCGGTTGATAGTTTTTATATAAATGATTTTAATATTTTGGAGAATTTGATCGCTTCAACTATGCATTCCATTCGTGGTGATAGTGGTTCACCCGTATTTTATTCACAAAAAACACCTTTTATGAGTCTACAAGGCATACACGTAATGGCTGACTATAGTGAAAAATGGGGAAATATTGCTCTTACTATAAAAACAAAAGATATTTTTGAAAAATCCGAAATACCAATTTTTTTGGGTGATCATTATATATAATTAAACATTTACATAAATTTGTATTCTGCTTTATAGAAGATACGTCACTACACTTATTTTAATACTGTAATATTGATTTAGCAGAGAAAATACTGTATATAAATAAGGCTTAATTAGGCATCGCACCATGCAATGCGTTTATATATCGCACCCTAACGATCTACCAATTAAATTGTGTAACGTGAAGATCAGATTTAAAGTTTTTGGTTTTTTAAAAAGTTGATAATATCTCAAAATTTTGCTTATGAAACAACTTTTAATATTCTAATACGAAAAATTCCTTGCAAAATTTTACTATAAACTATGCTCTACCCTAACCTCTAATTATCAACCTTAACCTATATATAAAAATTGATTTGATGTAATATTATATTTCGTATTTATATTGAGGTGATATACAAGTGCATCGCATAGTGCGATATATACATTTATTCTAAAATAAAAATTAATTTATAATTTTAATCATCTTTTCGTTCAATATGACTTGATACGATAGTAAATGATTATATGAATAGTCGAAAGAAATATTATGTATCATCAAAATATAATCATTGCTTGACACTTTTGCTAACTCCTAAACTCTACAAGTACACATGAAAATTCAAAGTACAAATGTTGGATCTTTCTACAGCATACTACAAAATGAATAATTTGTGTTTTATGTTTTAGTGTTTTGATGTTTTAAAGTACTTATGCTATATTAAAAGATACTCTTTTTATAAGAAAAAGTGTTTATTCTTTAGTAAAAGATGTTTAATCTATAATTTTAATCATTTTAAAATGTCTTTCTACTATATAAAAGTATCTATTTAATATTTCAAAGTGCTTATCCTATAGTAAAATGTAAGTTCTATAGTAATTTAATAGATTAAAAAAAGATATTTAAACTTTTTTTACTTTTCTATACCAAAAAGATAGTTAGTTCATATATTTTGGTTATTATAATACTCTATTTTATACTCTGTTATCTAAATTTTAACTTGGGATTTGATTTATTTTTATTTTCTATTATAATCATTGTCTATTTTTTGCTTTATTTGTGATAATTTCTTAAAATTAAATTTATTTTTCTTAAGTTGTATTTTCTATTTTTATTTGTATATTCTTTTAGATATTGTTTGAGTTAATAAATCTATCTTTTATTTACAAATTTTTAGTTATAATCTTTTTTATAAATACTACTATGATAATAAGTTGATAATATTTTCTTTTTAATAAACTATTTTTTTTATAAAATTATTGGGATATTCTATAGAATAGGTGGGCAAAATAAGAAATAAGCATCGCTAATGATTAGTAATCATTAATTTTTTAATAGCGGAGTTGCTGAGTTTGCAGAGTTTGCCCACCTATTCTATAGAACATCCAATTATTGTCTGGAGCAAAGTGAAAGACCTATACTTCTATATTTTTTGATAATCAAAATTTCATTTTGATTTATTTATATTAAAAATATTAAAAAAGTAGTTTTGGCATTTTCTGTTTGCCACTTTTGTTTTTATATAGTAAAGTCAAATTTTATTAAGTAAATTGATTTTGTCTACAGTATTAAGTAAAAATTGTTCAAAAAATCAAGATATATATATCTTAAAATTTTTATATAATTGGCTAATTTTTTATTAATATGTTTTTGCAATTTATGTTAAAAAAATTGATTAAAATTTTTTTATAAATTTTTTTTTAATAACAATAAAAATTAAATATCAAATAATAAAAATTATCATAATTATATAAAAATTTCAAAATATATGTAATTTGATCTTTTGAACAATTTTTACTTAATGGATATAATCGATTTACTTAATAAAATTTGACTTTACTATATAGAATATATTATAGATTAATTAAAAAATATTATTTTTTATTTGAATTATTTAAAAAAATAATTTATTTTTAGAAATATATGATACTTATGCTCCAGACTTATACTAGTTTCCAGTTTCTAGTTTAACAAATTTTTTAGTTATTTGAATATCTAGTCAAGTAAGATAACTTGTAAATTAAGATCTAATAATATTATAATATTTATATAGAACAAATAACTTTGTTGTATCTAGTTAATACAAAAAAAATAATAGATAATAATTCTAATAATTAACTTATTGCAAACTCTTATAGTATCTTTAGAGTTTATTAAATTTAAATTTTATTATAGACTAGTTAATTTTTTTAATTTTTTTTAAAAATCTATATATAAAGCTAATCTTTATCAAGTTGATAGTATTCTAGTTAATATTACTTCAAAGACATCTATTCTCTTTAAATATCTTAAAACTATACTCAAAAACCTGGTACTTAAATTTACAACTACTTTATTCACAAACTTAATTATATTAAAATTTTTAAATTACTTCTTATTTTTTTTATATATTAATAGACAAAAATTTTAAGTTTGCCTTATTACTGCTTATCTTTATCTATATTTTCTCAAACAATACCAGACTATTAACTATATTAAACTTGCAGAAAATCTTAACTTCAAATCTAAGAAATTCTATATTGTTACTGATATAGTATTTGTTAACTTAAATAAACTTTATCTTATTATCAAATCTAATTCTAGATATAATATAACTATGTTATTCAACTTAATCAGAACTTTTTTTTAAACAATACAATATTCTATTTCTTTTAACTTCTGTAATAATCTAAACAAATAGTTTAATAAATAATATCTTATCTATTATAAACAATTTAATAGTTCTCTTAATAAATAATTTTTTTAATATACAAATCTATATGTTAACAATTTAATTTCTATTTAATTAATATTATTTTTGCAAATCTTATTTTTTTAAACTCTTTAATACATGTGAGAGAATTTTTATACTACTAAATTCACTAGTTTCTATATTTTTTTATACAAAAACTAAAAATAGCTCTACTATAAAATCTAAATACTCAAAATCTTGATACTCAAAATTCTGATATCAAAATTTTAATATTAGAAAATCTTGATACTACCAAAATTCTGAATCTACCAAATTCTAATACTACAAATACTAAAATTCTAATATTAAAAAAATTCTGTACTACAAAAATTCAGACACTTTTAAAATCTATCTACTAAAATTCTAATACACAAAATTCTAATACTTCAAAATTCTGACCCTACAAAATTTTGATACTACTATACTATTAAATCTTCTAACATTACTATCTATACCAAGCATTATTGCTATTTTCATAAATTTGTTAAATAATTTTTTAGCTAATTTGAATACAATCAAACCCCTCTATAGTCACCTCCTCTATAGTCACAAAATTAATATAATTACAAGTTTATTTTTACCAATTAATTATAACTATATAGAAAATACCTCTATATTCATCATACCTCTTTATAATCATGATTTTTTGTATCCCGAAAATGTAACTATAGAGGGGTTTAACTATAATTTTATTATTATAAAGTAGATATATACTAAAATCAAAATATAGATTATAATATTTATAAGAACAAATTTATTTTTCACCCAGAGTGAGCATTACCCCCTATAACAAAATTTGAAAAAATGCTAATATCTTAAAATTTTACTAAAGTAATCCTATCATGTAATATAAGCAAAAATATTCTTCTTGCAATTTTACTTTAGGCTAACTCTAACCCTAACCTTAATTCTAACTCTAATATATTATATGACCAGGTTCTCTTTTATACTTAAGGGGGTAAATAATCACCCAGGTATCAAATAAATTATTTCTATTTATAATTATATATACTAATTCTTACATTATATATTATAAAACTTTTGATTAGATTTAGCATTACGATCTAATCTTGAAATTTTATTTATTTATTTTGTTACAATATAGAGAGTTTTGCATAGTCATTTTATCAACTGTCTTAGTTTATAAACTATATAAAGCAATTTTAAAAATCTGTAAATTGTTAAATCAATATGAAAGGTTTAAAAGTATTATAACTAAAAATTATATATAAAATAATCTGCAATTCTATTCTAACTAATAATTAGATATAATTAGTGCAATAAATAAAATATTTAATTAATTATAAAATAAAACTTTATATATTTTTAAATAAAGCTCTATATATTAAGAATTAAAAAAATAATCTATATTACAAATACAGTTTAGAATAACAGAACTCTTTCTACTACACTACAATTTACAAACAGTAGAAAAACAAAAAATAACATTTTTCTCAACAACTAGTATAGGAAACAGGATTTATTATACTAAGAAAAAAAGAAGAGAATTATAAACAATACTTCTTTCACTAAAGAAGCTTCTTTCAAAAACTCTAAGCCAAGCATCCAAGTAAAGTTTTTAAAAATTTTAAAAAATTTTTGAAAATTTGGGGATTATCACTTTGACTCTAAATTTCTGATCACAAAACATGTAAATAACAATAACAACACAAATATATAAGATCAGATAAACAAATAAACAAATACTAGAACACATGGCTTTTCTAAACATAGCAAAACAAAACAACAATCAACAAACAGCATATATGAATTATTGAAAATTATTTTAGAATACAATGCTGATACAAAGATGATGAAAATAAACCTTCTAGAATTTATTTGAGATAGAAGTGTAATTGCAGCTAAATATATGCTCAACAAAGTACTCAAAGAAATAATTAGCAAAATTATACTTACAGAATCTAACAATATAGCTAAAACATTATCAATAGAAAATGAGCATGCCATTATATCAATAGAAGTATTAGCATATGGTTACATACTAAAGGTTTTATATCAAGCTGAAGCTAGAGGCTGTCTAGAATAAAAATAG